ACTCCTTAACTAAAGCATGTTTTATAATAATATATCTAATAATATAAGATACCTTTAATTTATGGTAAATGTTCATTTTAAATGCAGGCCTATCATATAAATGAAAGGATTGATCGATGAGTTCAAGAACTGAAATTGAAAGGATAAAGAGATGGCCAAACTTAGAAAAGAGATATCGGTGCAATCCAAACCGGAACACTGTTCGGTAATTGGGTCATATCTGGAGCTATAGATCTCATATTTAGGTCTACTTTATATGGATGGAAAGGTAAGATATAGATATACAACTTTCATATGGAGCCCAAGATCTAAAAAGGCCATTTTCAAGTCCAAATTATTGCAACAACAAAGAAGCCCGAATCTGTCCTCCAGCCCGAGCACTGTTCAGTATTTTGGCCATATCTGGAGTTCTAGAAGTCCAAATGAGCTGAAGTTTTTACACAAGAAAGCTGAGACAATTGCCTAAAGCTGAATTGTTTACACAAAAAAGCTAAGATAATTAGCTACAAATTTCATGTTTTCAAGTGGCTTCAATTTTGACGTTATCAATGACGTTTTAGGGAGACAAGAGAAAATAAGGATTGTCACCAAGTCAAGAGTTGGTCACCCACTCATCAATTAGTCATCAAATCAATAGTTCCCAATTTTGGCCTATAAAAGGAGGCATTTGCCATGTCAATTTTGGCCTATAAAAGGAGTTATTTGCCATGCATTTAGGCATCTTGGTTTCCATATCAAGATCATGCTCTTGCTTTCTCTCTTTATATTTTTTTGTAATGTTTATGCTTTGCTTTCATTAATATCAAGTTTATGCCTTCCATTTCCTTTCATTTACTTAGTTAACTTTTATCTTATTTATGTTCTTATTTTGTTTATTTATTTTTCTTTCTTTCATTATGTCTTTCTTTCTTTTATTATGTTTAGCTAAGTTTATTATGTTAAGGTGAAAAGGTTACACTAATGGTGTAAGAATAAGTATAGTATAAACTTAATATGGACTTTAATGTTTGATACTAACATGTTTTGTATTTGTTATCTTGTTCACTCTTTAATACTTTGCTTGTTAAATAACTAATCTTGATTTATGTTGTATAACACTTGGTATAACAAATGCTTGGCACTTTTATAGCCTATACTGTATGGTATAACCGACACCTGAGCTATGAAAGGAACTTGCTTTGTTGTTAACATAAGTTATAATCATGAATGCTTGACGAAATTTACAAGTATTAGCATTAATTAAATAAGATGACTAATGTAATCATGTTAACAATCTATAATCCGATTGGAACCTCCTTTGTGTGTGGTTTCCAATTGAATAATAAGAGTTTATGCTATACTTGTTTGACATACCATTAGTGGATCCTCTAACCTTGACATTGTTTGTTATCGTTGTTTAATCCTTACGTTAATTTTCCATCTCAAAGTTCTCATTAATCCAAGTTCTCATCTTCTTCTTCTTCTCTTCTTTCTTTATTACTACTACTACTACTACTACTAGTAGTAGTAGTAGTAGTATTAGTATTAGTATTATTATTGCTACTATTATTATTATTGTTATTGTTATTGTTATTATTGTTGTTGTTTATAATTTGTACAATTAACCTCCTTGTGGTTCGACCCCGGTCTTGCCGGGTTATTTATTACTTCAACACTCCTACACTTGGGAAAAGACATCAATCTTTTAGTTGTGTCAACAAGCCATTCTGAAACTGGGATTTCACAACTCAAAAGCTGATCCTTCTCTATTCATCTATCACAATAAAGCTATTTTGTGTTATCTGCTGACCTACATGGATGATCTAGTCATCACTAGTAACACTTCATCCTTTCTGACTAACGTGATTCATCAACTTGGCATCCAATTCTCATTAAAAGATATGGGCACACTTCATTATTTCTTGGGGCTGGATGTTATACTTACCAAAAACGGGTTGTTCTTATCACAACATCAATACATACGGGACCTTCTCTTCAAATCCAACATGCAGGGTGCTACGGATGTCTCTTCTCCTATGTCCACATCAGTCCAACTCAAGCTTATTGATGGCACAGCTCCCCGCAACAGCACTGAATTTCAAAGTATCATTGGTGGTCTATAATATTTGTCCCTTACTCGTCCTAACATTTGCTTTGCAGTTAACAAGTTGTCCCAATTCATGCATCAACCCACAGTCACTCACTGGTCAGCTGCCAAATGTTTGCTCTGCTATCTGAAGAAAACCATTTTTCTTGGCATTCACATACATCGTCAGTCTTCATTTGCTGTTACCACCTTTACTGATGCTGACTGGGCTGGAAATTATGATGATCATACCTCCACTTCAGCTTACATTACATTTCTTAGGATCAATCCCATCTTATAGAGCTCTAAGAAACAACGTGCTGTTGCTAGGTCATCAACTGAAGCTGAGTACCGTTCACTCGCCACTGCTACGTTTGAAACAATTTGGTTGCTATCTTTGTTCAAAGAACTTTATCTCCCAATTCCCTCTCCACCAAGATTATTGTGTGACAACCTGGGAGCTACACACCTTAGTTTCAATCCAATTCAGCACTCTAGGATGAAACACATTTAGATAGACCTCCATTTTGTTCGTGATATAGTTTAGAAGAAGATTCTCAATGTTCAGCATGTCAACACTCATAACCAACTGGCAGATTTTCTAACAAAACCTTTGTCTTCCTAACGTTTGCATTCTTTACTGCTCAAGATTGGCTTAGCTGATGGCTTATCCATCTTACGGGAGCATATAAAGGAAATCCCCACAGATTCAGCAAATGATCCCTTGCCTCCTGCACAGGATTATGCAACCATCATTCAAGCCTAATATCAAGCTTGTAACAGCAGATAAATCTTCAATGTAAATGCAGTGTAAATGCTAGACGCAATCTTAGCTTTGTTTCTAAATTCAAGTCTCCAGTCTTGTATATATATATGTTAACAGTTGTATGATTCAAATAACAAAAATATTTACTATTCTGAAGTTTATCAATTAGCTCAATTTCCTAAAAACTTCTTATCTTCATCAAAGCCAATGTGTTCGTCATAAGAGTTCTTTCAATAGTTGCTTTAGTTGGAATCAAATCTTCTTGTATTTAATTATTTCTCAAGCAGGCTTGTATTTAATTATTTCTCAAGCAGGCTTGTATTTTCATCCTTTTTTTTACTTTCTGGATTGTGGGTTTCTTTAGCTAATTTTATTACCTTGTTAGTGTGGGTTTTGGTGTGTCCAAGAACTAGAGACGAGCAAAAAAAATTTAAAAATCGATTAAACTGAGAAAATCAACAAAAATAATAACTAAAAAAATTGAATCGTGAAAAAAATCTATTAAACTGATTAAAATTTTATAAAAAATAGTTGGTTCGATTTGGTTTGGTTTTATAAGTCTAAAACCAAAAAAATCGAATCAAACCAAAACAAACCCAAATAAAAAACTAAGCCAAACTAAAATAAAAAACTAAGTCAAATGGAGCCAAACTAGAAAAACCGAGCTAAAATTGAGCCAAAACCAAAAAAAATGAGCCAAAACAAAGCTAAACTGAAAAAACAAAACATTGAAAAAACCGAGTCAAACAAGTTTGAACCAGTTTTTGTCCTAAAAACTAAATCGAATCAAACCGAAACAGGTCTGTTTAAACCAGTTTTTGTTTTTTTTTAAATTTTTTTGTTTGGTTACTTTTTTTTTATAAAAACCAAACTGAACTGAAAATAATCACCTTTATCAAGAATATATTTTGCTATTGCCTTATGGGCCTAATCTTGGGCAGTACTGACTTGTATTTTGTTGTTAGTATCTATTGTTTTTTTATGTATTTGGAATTATGGTAGCAGTGGTGGTTTAAAACGTTTTTTACTTAAAAATACATCAAAATAAATTTTTAAAAATTATTTTTAACTTCACACATCAAAACGATCTAAAAATATAAAAAAATTTATTTTAAACAAAAAATTTTAAAATTGAAGGAAACGTGATGTTAAACGTCTATAGAAACACCCAAATATACTTGAAGTTTTGATTTCAAGGCTTGGCTTTGCTATAGCATTTATAGTCGATTTACTGATTAGCTTCTTTCTTGATTATTAATGGTTATATAACTTATTTTTAACAAAATCTAAATAATAATAATAATAATTCATAACAGTAATTGTAATTGTTTGTTAAACTTAATTCATAGACAAGTAAGATTTATAAAAGATTCTTATTTATCACCAATCAAATTATTAAAATCGCTAGGAAGACAAAACAAAACTCAATTAGCAATGTGCCTCTTCTTTTAGATGATATGAAAATAAAACAAAATTAATTAACTTGGAGACAGCATATATTAAACATGAATGGAAAAATTACAATGCATGTTTAGATGTGAATGTTTTGGAGGAGTTTTAGTGTTCAATCTCCTTGTTAAAGAAAAATCTCTCTCCATTCATTTTATCTCCATGATTAGCTAAATCCCCATAGCTTTCTAGAAGGATTACCCACAAGTTACGTAAATTATTGTTTGTAATTACAAGCACCACTAACTTCTAACCAATTGGCATGAGAGGTCATTCGATGAAATTGGGATTGAAAACAATATACATAGACTAGGTCCTTAGGTTGAGAATAAATAACAAAATCTAGTGGATATTCTTAATTTTCGCTAAAGCAAACGCTACATGTCTATGAATAGAAAATTGTCACTGTAATACCAAAATAGTGTGAGGATTAGGGTATAATTAGTCCAACATTTTTGGGATTTAAGAACATGGTTAAGGTTGTTCTGTGATTTTATTTATGAAACAGAAAAAAAAAAACAAATAAAACAAGATCGTAATACATACGCTAAGAACCTAAGCAATTGTGATTTCAGGTTTGTCGTTTGATCTATTTTGTTCATTCGTTCATCCCTTTGAGTCATTAAGTTTTCTTTTTTCATTTTCTCACTGTTTTAATGTGTTGAATATAACTCAAAACTAATCCTTTTTTTTTTTAATTGTAGTTACATCAAATTAAATATGGGAGAGAATGAAGGAGCTGAGAAGAAAGAGAAGCATGAAAAGGATAACGACGAGAAAGAAGAGAAGGGAGAGGAGAAAACCAAAGACAGGAAGAAGAAAGACAAGGAAAGTAAAGATAAAAAGGATAAAGGAGATGGTGAGAAAGGGAAGAAGAACAAGAACCCTGAAGATAAGAAGGACCCTGCGAAGCTAAGGGCCAAGCTACAGAAGCTCGACGCCAAGATGGAGGCACTGTCCAAAAAAAGGGAGGATATCCTTAAACTTCTTCAAGAAGTTGAAATCAATGTCACACAAGCAAGTGGAGAGGCCGTCTAGACATGCAGAACTAGCCATGTCTAAGACATAATATGCATTACTGCTGATAATAATATTCTTCGTATAGAAATAATTAGTGTATGGATCACAAGTTGTACCGGTTGTATCAATTCTTTCGTGATATGTAAAAATTATAATGAAGTACAACCATGGACTTTGAATGCATCTTGAGAATGCATTTCACTTTGAAAACATGAACGCCAAGAAAATAAAATGAAATTGAACTGAAAAACTAATCCAAAAGCATCTACGCTTTAAGAACATGCATGGCAAATCCAAATAATTTGCCCTTCCTTTCTACGAGATCTTAAGGCAAGACTACATAAATTAATCAAGTGATTTGCGTGTTGTTTATTTCTAAAATGTCCTTCCAAGTTAAACAAATAAAAGGCTTTCATTTGTAAATCATGTGATGAATTATATTAATTTCACCTCAAAGTCTTGCTTGAATATTAATATCTATGAAACATAAAGTATATTCAATAATAAAATTATAGTATGATATTAGTTGTGGAATCGCATTACACGAGGCTTTTTTCTTTTTCCTCATAGAAATTGATGTTTAAGTGGAATAAATATGTTTTAAAAAAATTCAGAACTTATGTTATAAATCTGATTGAATCAAATAAGTTAGTTTTATTTTAATTAGATTATAAAAAAATAGGTAACAACAACAAATTGATTAAATAAAAAAATAATTATGATAAACTGATAAAAAAAACATTTTAACAAAAGAGGACAATGATGTAGCTAAATTCTCAGTTCATTAAATAAGAAAGAAAAAAATTGGATAAAAAAATAAGTTAAAAAATCAGCTTGAGTCAACCCGAATTAATATAAAAAACTTGTAACCACGATAATTAGAGCCTAGCTAACTCGGGTTATTCTGTTAAATCCATAACTCCAGTCATTAGTTCGGGATGACTCAATAAAAAATAAAACAAAAAAAAATCACTAAATTTGTTTTTTCATAAAAAAATATTAACTTGCATCAACTTTTCAAACTTGTAACTTGGATCAATAATTTAAAAGCACTCTATCTGAAACAACTAAAAAATCAAATTCTCAATCAATCAATTATTAAAGGATAAAATTAAAAAAATAATTTCAACTATATAAAAGGATTAAGAAATAACAATTAAAGGAACAAGGATAAAATTAAAAAACAAATTTAATTTGACCTTTGATTGAAAAGTAAAATTAAAAAGAAAAAATTAATTTAACAAAAGAAAAAAACAAATATGGATTAATATTGAAATAAGAAATATAAATAAATTTTTTATTGAAGGATAAAATTATATATATATATAAGCAAAATCAAAAGAAACAACTAACATTTAGGAAAAAATTATATCATCGAGATTAAGCTTTGGGACACAGGCCCTTATTACTGAAGTAGAAAAAAGAAATATATTGGCAAGATCAGCTCAGTTTATAATGTGAACAATAAACGAATAAGATATCAAATGTCACAATAAAAAGCACATATCCAACTGTAGTATAATTTGTGCCATCAAAAACATCGGCCTGGATTTGAGTTGCTGAGCTTGTAGAAAGCATCACTTGCCTTGTCTGCCAGGGCACGGTATTGAATAGAAGCAGTATTGACGAAAACATTGTCCTAAAAGTAAATGTCTCAGCTACCATTAGAGAGCCAAGAATTATCAGAGTCAGCAAACCTTCGCATATATAAAGACAAAATCACCATTAATTTGTCGACAGCTAGAAAAACTGTGTGATCAAGGCAGAGCAAGACAAGATATGCCACAAAGCTATAGATATAAATCGTAGGCATCGTACAGAAAGTGGCCTCCTCGCAGTTCATATTTCCAGCTGATCACCGCTAAAGAAAAAGCATATTAATAAAATAAAAGGGAAAGTAAAAGAGAGGAAACAACAGTGTTCAGATAAGGGAATAAACAGACCTTCTTGGTCTCACAACGAACATCCATCTGCCGCAATCTCAGACACAGATGGCAAGCAAGCTGGCTGCCAAGAAACCAAGGAAGGCAATGACTTCCAGCATCAAGTTCTTCCTCAAACTTTCCAAATTAATGTCTCCTTAATAGCTACTGTGGCTGATCAACTTGTACGCAACAAAACAGATTACCCATCTTCGATGCACTCAAAGACATCCAGAAAGAATGCACAAGTCATGAGCTAAAAGGGAGTAAAACAAAGATACACGAAATTTAGGCGAAGTATGATTACAAAAAATGAAACTGCAAAGATGATGGCAGTCTGTAATCGTGCAATATTATTGTAAAGATGAAAATCATGTACATGAAGTGGAAAACATTTAAGAAAAAAGCCGTAAAATAAGCAAAAACTGCAAAGTTGACGGCAGTCCGTCACATTCTTGCTTGGATTTGCTGATTCGAGAGAGCCTCAGTAACCATGTTGAGTTGCTTCCCAAATGTACCATGTTTATTGCAACCTTGAACACATATATTTTTATTTTATTTTATTTTTTATTTGATAAAAATTTAAATATTTGTAAGATATTATTCTCTTTACTTATTCATTTACTCAAGATATCTATTTGTCATTGTTGAATTATATGATCATCATTTGCGCGCATATATATATATATATCAAAAAATATTTAATTAAAATTATGATAATCTTTTCAAAAGATTTTAAACTTGATACTATTTTTTTTATTTGACATAGATGTAGATTTAAATTGCATCAAAGAAGACATGGTTCCAAAACAATTTTTACAAAATACTTCTTGAAAACTCTTTGCTACTAACAATTCAAAATTAAATATTGCAGGCAAAACTGAAGCCTCTGATTTCAACAAAAACATTTTCTTAAAATATTTTTTATCATTACAAAAAATAGTAATCATACCATCATTCTTGGTACTCCATTCATCGGTATAATCACTTCATATCAAGCACATTATGATTATATTACCTCCAAAATCAATAGCATCAAACTTGTTTTCACATTCTTAAAAAAATCTAAGACTAGAAATTTGAATTTGATTAAATCATGCTTCATACAGACAAATCATATTAATACATTAATTCATGGAAAACAATTCCATCTATATGATTTACAAAATCATGTTTATTTTTGTCGCATTAACAAACAATTACAAAATTTTGATTTACAAAAGAAAATCATTGATTTACAAAATAAGATTGAACAACATATTTGTTCAGACTTACCTAATACTTTCTAGAACAGAAAATAACACATTATTAATCTTCCATATGAAGATACTTTTTCAAAAAAAAAACATGTACCTATAAAAGCAAGACCTATACAAATAAATGTTGATCTAGAATAGTATTGCAAACTTGAAATCTGCGATTTCAAGTCTAAAGGTCTTATCCAAAAGTCCTCATCACCATGGTAATGTACATCCTTTTATATAAATAAAAACATTGAAATTGAAAGAGACACACATAAACTTGTAATCAATTACTAACCTTTAAATTCTGTTTTAAAATGGATTAGATATCCAATCCCTAACAAAAAATATTTATTATAAAAATTTTATTCTGCATTCATATTTTCTAAATTTGATATGAAGTCCAGATTTTGACAAATCCAGATTGATTCCAAGGATAGATACAAAACTGCTTTTACAGTTACTTTTGGCCAATACAAATGGAATGTCATGGCCTTTGGCTTAAAAAATACACCATCTAAATTTTAATGTATCATGAATGACGTCTTCAATGCACATTCAAAATTCTGCAATGTCTACATTGACGATATACTTATTTTTTCTCATTCCATAGATCAACATTTCAAACATCTACATATATTCTTTCATACTGCAAAACAAAATGGTTAAGTTGTTTCTAAAATAAAAGTTTCTCTATTTCAAACCCTGTCCATTTCCTAAGCCATTATATTTGTCAAGTTACTGTAACACTGATAGAGAGATTTTTAACATTTACAAATAAATTTCCTAATAAGATTACTAATAAAACCCAATTGCAAAGGTTTTTAAGCAGTCTTAATTATATTTTAGACTATTATCTCAACATTAGTCATTTTGTCAAACCTTTACATAACAGGTTAAAAACCAACCTCATTTCTTGGTCTAACATCCATACCAACCTGGTCAAACAAATTAAAAAATGGGTCAAAACCATTCCTCTTCTCTATTTAGCTAACCTGTTAGCTTTTAGGATCGTTGAGATTGATGCCTCCGACCTAGGATATGATGAGATTCTTAAACAAGTACAAGATAACAAAGAACAAAAACTACAGTATACATCCGCCCATTGGAATAAATATCAGAAAAATTACTCCACTATTAAAAAGGAGATTCTTTCAATTGTTCTTTGCATTACAAAATTTCAAAGCAATTTATTAAATCAAAAATTTCTTTTACGTGTTGATTGCAAAACTACAAAGGAAGTTTTATAAAAAGATGTCCAAAATCTTGCTTCAAAACAGATTTTGATCAATGGCAAGCTATTTTAAGTATTTTTTTTATTCTGACATTACCTATATTAAAGGAGATTCAAATTTGATCCCTGATTTCCTAACCTATGAATTCCTTCAAAATAGGTCTTGATGTCTCCTAAAGCAAAATCCAAAGATAAGGGGAAAGCTCCCTAAACCCAACTAACAAAACTAGAGAGCCACCTTATGAGTCTCAATATAAGCATAAAATTATTTGTGAATATCATTTCTTTGTTGGAAAAAGTTTCGAAAAAACCAAGATTGTTTTTCAGAATTATGGTCTCCATAAAAATCTCTTTTGAAAAGAGTTTTATTTATGACAAAATGCTTATCTAAAGTCAAAACAGTCAAATTGATTTGGAAAGAAAAATTTCTTGTAGGCTTACCAATTCTTTTAGAAGAAAAGGTTTGAAACAAAATCAAAGATACTTTTACAACTCAAATCATACCATATGACTAGTTTACATATGATGAACTTGTAAGTTTCACCTAGAAAGGACTTAAGATCTACCAGGATCTCACTCAAATTGCAAAAACACTTAAAATGAAAAATGAAACATACTAGG